ATTAAATGAGATCAGTCCGGGTGGACTCTGGCCAAAAGAGAGCTTAGATCACGAGCATACATCACTGAAACATACGTGAATGAAGTTTGTTATCAATGTATTATCATTAATCATCTAAGAATAAGTTTCATCAATGTCGTCATCAATGCTGAAGACCATGACTTTTCCCCATCTAGTTACCGATGGGCAGGTCGCTCAGAGGCTCACCCTTGGACCAGTGGTTGATCCAGTTGAAGATCTCGGTGTGCCAGAACAAGCTGTTCTCCTGCTTGAGCACCCAGTGGTTCTCGTCGGGGAAGTTGAGGAACCTGGAGGGGATACCGCGGGCCTGGAGGATGTTGAACAAGCTCAGGCCGTCGCTCTCGGGCAGACGGTAGTCAAGGGTGTTGTGGATGACGAACTGGGGAGTGGACCAGTTGGCAATGTGGTTCTGGGGGTTCCACTCGCGGTACGCGTTGGAGTCCCAGATGCTGCCGTTGTAATCGTGGCGGATGAACCAGAGTTCCTCAGAGGCCCATGCGCCCTCGGTGTTGGAGATACCGTCGTGGGTGACGAGGCACTTGAACTCGTTGCCGAGGTCGTTGGCCTGGATCCAGTTGGTCATGTAACCACCGTAGGAAGCACCAGCGGCGATACCGTTCTTGGTGTCGATCCATGGCATGCTGCTGTTGACGTAGTTCCAGGCGTTGACCAAGTCGTGGTATGGCCAGCTACCCCACTGGCCCTGGATGGAGTCGGTGAGGAACTGTCCGAAACCGGTGGAACCGGTTGGGTTGGGGGCGACAATGATGTAGCCTTGGTCAGCCCAGACCTGAGGGTTCCAGCGGTTGGACCAGCTGTTGCCCCAGTTACCTTGAGGACCACCGTGGATGTAGAAAGCGAGCGGGTAGGTTACGTTCTCCTGCCAGAAAGTAGGCTTGACAACGTAGGCCTGAAGCTGCTGCTTGAGCTCAGGGTTGGAACCGTTGAAGAAGATCTCGGAAACAGTGTGGGATCCGAGACCAGCGAGGTTGGGGTCGACCTGAGACGCGTCGAAGAGGGTCTTCTTCTCTCCGTCGGCAAGGATGTACCACTCGCTGGGAGTCCAGATGGCGGTAGCAGCGACGAACAGCGAACCATCAGGAAGGAGGGCGAAAGCCGAGACGGATGTGTTCGAGGTCATAGGCTCAGGGACGAAGCTCTCGTCGGCATCGACAGGGAAGTTGAAGATCTTGACGCGAGCGTAGTCATCAGCAGTGACGTAGATGGAGGAGTCGTCGTGAGCCCATGTGATGGGTCCCTGAACCCAGCGGTCAAAGCCGGCACTCAGAGCCTTCCAGTTGCTGACAGCAACACCGGTACCCTCAACAGCGACGTCGACAGTGTAGAGTTGCCACCTGTCCGACTCGTAGTAGTCCTCATCCTGCTGCACGTAGGCGAGCTTGCAGCTGTCGGTGGAGAAAGAAGGGAGACCAGAAGCACCCTTGTGACCAGCCTCCGCCGCGAGAGAGTCTGGGCCGTTGAAGGCGATGGGAGCGTCGGAAGACGCGAAAGCACCAACATAGGTGTATGATGCGGTGTAGTTGGCCTTGTTGAGTTGAGGGGCCTTGGTTACGAAAGCGTACATGGAACCATCAGGGCTGATGTCGTAGTCGCTGGAGTCACCAAACGGCTGGATGGGAGTCTCAGGCGCAGTGGTGGTGAAGTTGATGCCCTTCTGGATGTTGCGCATTCCAGCGCCGGACAGCGCATAGCTGTTGTTCGCCGAGAGAGCTCCGGCGAAGAGATTGTAGCGGTTCTTGGTCAGCCAAGTGTCCCAGTGGCGGACATAGTTGTCCGAGTAGTAGCGGGCAGTAGTCACTGGGGTAACTTCGGTCTCGGGGTTGACGGCAGTACCATTGGGGTAAGCCATGCAGTTTACGATGAAATGCATGTCTCCAGTCGAAGTGTTTGCGACCTTGAGACCGGAGTATGGCGCATCCAAAGAAGCGACCATCTTGCTTGCACTCGGATCCTTGATGTCGCCAACCCACAGGGTAACACCACCGGGGACCTCCTCGTTGGTGCCATTGATGTAGATGATGCCAGTCTCGCTGCCGGGAATCCAGGCGACCTCGTTGATCTCGCTGGCATTGAGGCCCGACTCGGTGATCTCGCCGGTCTTGAGGTCGATGAGGTTCATGCCAGAACCCGCACTGCCGTGCTCCTCGAAGGAATACTGGGAGTACGAGAACAGACCGACAGAGCCATCGGGACTGGCGTCAGCGACGCCACGTCGGACGGTGCTGAGGAGTCCTCTGTTCACTTGTTAGCAGTTGCGCAAGCAACGGAATGTGATGGTAAACGTACTCAGGCGTAAAGGCACAGGCGCCGGTAGCAGCCAAAGCCGCGGCAACGCTGATGTATCGAGCCATTTTGTATGCGACCAGCTTCGTAAAAGCTCAATTGGACAAGGTCGATGGTCGGAAAATCTCAGGAAGGGCAGGCAGCTTATTTGTACAACGCGCTGCTCGGTACCTAGCTGCAGACCCTGGCTGGACGATATTTTGCCAGCGGGGTTTAGGGACCGGTACCTGGCCGTGATGGCGCTCCTCGTTGGCTACGCACTCGGTGATGGCATCAGGCGCGCCCTGTAATGCGGTTGCTGCTATACCAAACATGTGGATAGATGGGCGCTGTTCACGACCGCTCCTTCCTGATGCAGGCTAGCGCTGCGGGCGACAAACAAGCTCGCCGTCGGTGGGAACGTAGAAAGCATGTTTCTGCGTCGTCCTATCGCGACACGGCCCACAGGTCCCGCAGTCGTGGCTCAGACTTGGCGGCCATCTCCATGCAGCTCTCACGTGAAGCTCCGCAAAGCTCTCGCCCAGATTGCTCGCGGCCGTGCCAAGACGCGCCGTCACGATCAAGCCCGGTGGCGGATAAAACGGCGCACCCGAAGAGGCAGGTCGATAAAAAGTCCAACACCCATCTTTTACTCATCGATAGCCAGTGCGGCGTTGCTGTGTCGCTTGTATGCTGCCTTACCACATACAGAGGCTGGGAGTCTTGATACCGTACGGGCTGCCTCGGTCTGGTTCGGGCCTGCTGCGCGCCTAATGCTCTCATTCTTCCCTTTGCAAATTGACGATCGGCACCTGCCTTGCCTGGCTTAGATATGCAGACCCTATCGATGCAGCTGCTTCTTCGCGTTCGTGATGGCGCACGCTGTGACACCTCGATGACATCGAACGAATGAGCTGAGCGGTCGCCTCGTATCGCATCCAGCAAACTGCGCATTTGCGCTCATGGCAAGACGTATGTATCTTGCTGTCCGCTTTCTTGCTGCACGTCTTTCCTGATCCGATCTCTCTTGCTTTCCAAGGCACTACCCCATATCTGCGTGCGTGCCAAAGACAAAATACCGACAATGCGGCAACCGGTATCTGCGTATCCACACTCTCGGAAGCCGTTCGTTGTCATTGCGGCTGTCGCGCCTCGTCCGTGGTCTAGGGATAGGAACCTGAGTATTGCGCCTTAGGGCTTAACAGCCGCAGTGGACCCGTGCAGTAGCTTTTCCGATCTGGTTTGATATTGTCGTTGGCAAATTTATCGCGATATCTTGATACCGTGCGACAGTGGCATCGCAGTCAAGTTGGAGACTTTCGTGGTTGATGGCGTCGTAGCTTCCGAGCTGGAGATCGCGCTTACCCCGCGCCCTCACGTGCCATGTGGTCCAGGACGCGTCGGACGCGTTCGATCGCGTCTCTACAACACCAAACCTCTCCCTACGGCCATCATCGAATGTCTTCTTGTCAGCATGGTTCGGAGCCGTAATATTTGATATTGCGCTGCTTGAGGGTCAGCTAAGCGACATGTGTGGTAGCCTGACGACCCCCGCGGAAAGTGTCAACGAAGGCTAGAGTGCGCCTTTGATTCAGACTCGGCCTGGCCTTCATTTGGGCAGAAAGACTCAGCACTATCAGATGCAGTGTGATCGTACTCAACTGAAGACAATTACTGCTACATGGTTTCTCAGCTGTACGCCGCAACAAACAGTTCGAAAGCCAACGGCTTATTCTTCCTCAGAGCTATCATCTGCCGACGGATCAATAACTTTATTCAGTACTGTCCCTCCGTCAAACCTCAGCGTCTTCCGCAATTCGTACACGGTGGCTTCCAGATCCCAAACTGCGTCGACCAGTTTTTCTCTAGCCCCACCAACTTGATATCTCAGAGCACTGGCGTTCCACAACTCGTCCACAACGCCTACTACGCTTATCCATTCCTTCAGCTTCGTGTTGGCGTTCTTCGCGTCCTTCGCTGCTGTTTTGAGAGCCGGTACGAGCAAGTCCTCTTCTAATCTCTTTCTTCTCCGTGCTTCTTCGCTTATGTGTGTAGCGTGGTGCGGGTTTTCTTCGAGGGATTCGTAGAGTCCTTTCCATTCGTTCTTCGCCTTGACAATCCTGTCGATATCGTCGGTGTTGGCAGTGGTGGTGCGAGGTGTGGAACTCATGGTGTAGATGACGAAGAAAACAGGCGTTAAAGCATGATGTTATAGCCGTTGTGAGTTTGCTATTTGCGCTTGCTGTGCATGCATGATCATGGAAGGTTTCATGTCCTAGTTGGTGCACTTTCCGGGGGTCTCAGTATGTTCAAAACAAAGGTAAAGGTATAGCTTCATGTGGAATCTGGCCTTGACTGTGAAGCGTAAAAGACTAGCTGCTCGACTTTGAGAGACATAAATGCATGTATGGATGGCTCGATGAGACATAGCCCCGTCGATCTTTTCCTGCTCGATAACAAACGTTCCCAAAACAAGTCTGATCACTACCTTCCCCGAAGCAAGTCCAGGTATGTCGCGCAAAGCAGTCCCAATTGTCACGAAGCATCATCCCGTATTTTGTTGCCAAACTCCCGCAAACTCCACTAACCCCAGTAATGGAAACCCACGGATGACCTTGACCGATACAAACTTTTCCAAATCAACGCCATGAGCCTCCAATACTTCAAATACCCCCAGGTCAATCATTCTCCACCTTTCAAAAAGCCGAAACGTCCAACGCTTCTCCCGCTCTTCTCATCCTTTGCTTGAGACCCTCCACTTCCTTCTCCAGTACCTTTGATCGCCTCTCAGCTTGTGCGCAGCGTGCCTGAATTTGACCGAGCTGATCGCGAAGAGCGTTCTCGTTGTGGAGCGTGTTAGCGTGTCGCTCTGCCAGTTCGTCGTATTGAACTTGGATGCCGCGGTACGCATTTTGACTGAACATGCTTTCGTTTTTGACTCGGCTTATCTCCGCTGTGAGTCCGTTGACTTGTGCTAAGAGCTGATGGTTCACTGTCATCTGTGCTCTGAGTTGTTCAACAGCCCTGGCTTGCGTATCGATTTCCGCTCTCAATGGGGTGTTTGTTCTTTCACTGTTTGCTAGCCTGGCCTCTGCGCTGGTTGCCATGATCGGATGTTCTGGGCTCAATGATCGCCGTATGGTGCTGTGCGATGGGTGTATCTATAAGAAAGTAAGCTTAAAGTGCGATTCAGACTATTGCATATACGCACGATATGGCTGTAATCGCGACGCTTGATCCTCGCTGCCATTTGTTAGTTCAACCATGTAAAAGGACGGCGGACCTTGTAACTTACCTGCCGTTGGCGTGGGTCCATCATCGCCGGTGCGTTTCCTGGATGCGAAAGTGTCGTGCGTCAGGTCAGTCGCTTCTGGCCCCGGAACTGATGTCGCAGCGGATACTGGTACAGTTTTCGGTTCCTGTTTCTGTGCTTTTGCGCGAGGCTTTGGGCGAACGCCACTGTTTGCGATAAATCCGCAAGCCTTCGAAAAGTCCATCCAGAAATGACTGTAATTCTCAATGACTTCGATGTGACCAGCAACTAAGAAGAAGTAAAGTGCCATTGCCCGTATCCTGTTGTAAACGGTCTGTTCACCAACTGAATGGTCTCCGACGTCACAGAACGGTTCGTCGATATCGACATGCCTGAGACCGCTCGGTTGCACGCGATGGACGCTCGAGTCTGAGTTGACATAAAAGTACCCGATATGGTGATTCTTCAATCCACGTACGTAGATATAGACTGGAGGCTTCAACTCCAGAGACGGGGCGTCGAAGGTGCCCAGAGTGAGTACCATCTCGGACGCGTCCTGTGGCCAATGAGTGTCGACTATTGGGCCGAAGCTTTTGCGATGACTGAACTTGACGGTATCGAAAGCTGGGAGTTTCTCAAACTCCTTGGGTATGAGAGAACGTGCCTGTCTGGAAATTGTTTGTGTGTACCAATTCGTTGCGCTTTCATCGATAGTGATGGGATTGTTGACGTTGGTATATCCCATGGTAGGGGATTTTCGCAGTCTAGCACCTAGAACCAGTAACTGTTGGTTCTAACGGGTTTATCAGTATTCCACCAATGGGTATAGCTATGCTGCACGCATAAGGTAGTGGGCCGGAGACGAGGGAAAAGGGCCGAGAAAGTGTGTTAGTAATTGGATACGATGGGAGGCAAGGTCTGGACCTCAAGGAGATGAGCGTTTTATATGTAGAGAGATACTGTCGGACTCAAGGCGTACTGAGTAATAGAACGAGGCTACAGTAGCGATACGTGAGAGTGATGTATACCTGGGCAGGACCTGCACCTGAGTGAGAGTATGCGAGGCTACCTCGAGAAGCTATCGCGACAAGGTAAAGGTCATCAACGCGAAGTACGATAAGATGAGAATTCTCATGGACACTTTTGACAAACATAATCGATCAGCATCACCGCGGCCCTGTCAATTAGTGCTGAACCTTGGAATAGCCTGTACGTATGATCGTAGGGACGCGACAGGCTCGTTACCACGCGCATGTAGTGATAGAACTCAACCGAGTAGTGTCATGCTCAGTTCGCAAATGAAGAGAAGGGTTTGATCGTTTGTGGACTGCAGGCGGTTGGTCGTGGGCGAGATGGCTGATGACGTCGTAGTTGCCCTAGTAGGTCTCTCGTTATTGCGGCACAAACATTCTGGAAGCCACCACCACCTCGTCTCCGTCCTGACCATCGTCAAATTCCACCATACACCGTCTTCCATGCCATCAAGTCTGCGGCGCTTTCGTCCACGCGTACAACGATCGGAATGCGCACTACCATCGGCTGTCAACCGGTTCGGCGGACTTTTTCAGCCAGTTGTTGCCGATCTCTCCGATCCCCGCCATTCATCCCCACAATCAGCCAGTAAAGCTTGAGCCGCCCTCCGCACGCTTGACTGATCTTGTACTTACGCCCAGCTTTTAGGCTGAAGTACGGTGCGACCGTTAGACTTCGTTTTGTTTCCTCGGTGGGAGATGTCACGACAATTGCTGCCGTAAATGTGCTAATGACGTGTTGATCATGAGGAAAGCGTGGTGACCTATAAAGGATCTTGGGGACGGCGGCCAGTATGTGGATATTGACCGTTATCCATTGGCTTCAATCATGCGACTTTTACTCACCACACTGTTTTGCGTGCTGGGCGTTGCTGTAGCCGAAGATGGCTCACAAGGCTGGCTGCGCTATGCTCCTATACCGGACGGGCCATGCGCACAATCGGTACCCCCGGCGATCATCGCTTTGAACAGCACGAAAGTGAGCCCTGTCTACACCGCAGGCCAAGAGCTTCAGAGAGGCGTAGAGGGCATCATCGGACGAAAGCTGAACGTCAGCTCGACGGCAGACCAAAGCCAGTCTGCCATCATCGTCGGAACTTGGGACGCCTACGTAGCCGCGTACGGAAACATCGATGAATGCGAGAACCTGGACGAAGATGGTTTCTTCCTCAGCACAACTACTCCCGGCAAAGTCATAATCATTGGACAGAATGAACGCGGTGCTCTCTATGGAGCCTTTGAGTATCTCTCTCAGCTCGCGCAAGACAAACCCACGGCTGCTTCAACGGTATACAACCCGCAAGTACCCATCCGATGGACTAATGAATGGGATAATATGGATGGCAGTATCGAAAGAGGGTATGCTGGCCCTTCATTGTTCTTCCGGGACGGATTTGTCGTAGATAACACGACACGGGTTGCTGAATACGCTCGCCTGTTGGCATCAATTCGTGTAAACGGCGCCATCATCAACAACGTCAACGCAAACGCCACGCTACTCAACGATCGCAACGTGGAAGGCCTTGGTAGACTCGCTGATGCGATGCGACCATGGGGTGTGCAGCTTGGCATATCCCTGAACTTCGCATCTCCGAATGCTAGTCTAGGCACATTCGATCCTTTGGACCCGAAGGTAGATGCATGGTGGGCCAACATCACCAACCAGATTTATTCCAAGGTTCCAGACATGGCCGGTTATCTCGTCAAAGCCAATTCAGAAGGACAGCCTGGTCCATTGACCTACAACCGAACACTCGCAGACGGCGCCAACATGTTCGCGAGGGCAGCTAAACCCCATGGTGGTGTTGTCATGTTCCGCGCTTTCGTCTATGACAACCACATCAATGAGACCAACTGGTACAACGACAGGGCGAATGCGCAATTGGAGTTCTTTCAGCATCTAGATGGAAAGTTCGACGCCAACGTAGTTGTTCAGATCAAGTTCGGCCCGGTATGTCTACAGACGCTGTCTATCCAAGAGCAGACTAACGTATCTCTGTTTCCCCACAGATTGACTTCCAGGTTCGGGAGCCAGCATCGCCACTGTTTGGATCTTTACGGCACACGAGCACAGCTATCGAGCTCCAGATCACGCCCGAGTATCTCGGCCAAAATTGCCACCTAGTCTATCTGGCCCCACAGTGGAAAGAGATCCTGGAGTTTGACATGAGGTCTGACAATCAGTCTTCCAAAGTCAAAGATATCATCACTGGTGAGCGCTTCAAACGACCACTGGGTGGTTATGCAGGCGTGACAGGAGTTGGATCAAATGCGACGTGGCTAGGTTCACATCTAGCCATGTCCAACCTGTATGCGTACGGACGATTAGCCTGGGACGCGTCCGTTGACCCGAAGATTATCCTGCAAGACTGGATTCGATTGACATTTGGCTTTGACCCGGACGTGCTCGACACCATCACCGATATGTCCATGAGGTCGTGGCCCGCATATGAAAACTACAGCGGCAATCTCGGCATTCAGACACTGACTGACATTTTGTACACACACTTTGGACCAAACCCTGCTTCGCAAGACGGTAATGGCTGGGGTCAATGGACGCGCGCCGATGCATTCAGTATTGGCATGGACCGCACCGTGAAGAACGGCACTGGCAATGCTGGACAATACCCGCCCGAGGTCGCTCAAATCTACGAGGATATTGAATCGACGCCGGACAATTTACTGCTCTGGTTCCATCACGTTCCGTATACACAGCGACTGAAATCCAACAAGACTGTGATTCAGCACTTCTACGACGCTCACTACGAAGGTGCTGGTGTTGCGCAGGAATTTGTCGGGCAATGGGAGTCCTTGAAGGGCAAGATCGACGATGAGCGATATGAACATGTATTGTTCAGGCAAACGTTCCAAGCTGGCCACTCGATAGTTTGGCGCGATGCGATCAACGAGTTCTACCACAATCTCTCACAGATAGCGGACGAGAATCAGCGCGTGGGCAATCACCCGTATCGCATTGAGGCGGAGGGCATGATGCTCGATGGTTTCATGACTTACGCCGTAAGCCCTTTTGAGACAGCTTCCGGCTATACGGCTATCGTCACAACATCAAACTCCACAACGGGCGTCGCGACCGCTAATGTCACGTTCGCCTCGGGAACGTACGACGTCGCTGTCAATTACTACGATTTGATTGGAGGTAAAGCGAAGTACGAACTCGAGGTTGGCGATCGGATCGTGGGTAGCTGGGTGGGGGATCTGGAAGACAAGCTGGGACACGCGCCGAGCGTGTATCTCGATGGGCACTCCGCGACGCGCATCACGTTCAGAGGTGTTGAGGTTCGGCAAGGTGACGTGGTGCGACTCACTGCGCAAGCTGATGGGATAGAGCCCGCCCCGGTCGATTACCTCTCATTCTTGCCACCTGGCATTGTTGACTGAGTCGCTTGTGCAGCAAGTATGTACAAAAAAGAAAAAAAGATGCGAAATTGAAATTGATGTCCTCGCATTCGCAGACGCGACAATCTAATGTTTCCACTGCCCAGTCGGCTTCATTTCCACTACCGGGTTCCCCTGCGCGCCTCCCGCCCCGCCTAACCCACAATAGCGACTTGTCTCCTATTCCCCCAGGCATGGCAACACCATAGCCCAGTCGTTGGTGGCTTTCGGAGACGGGGAATTTCACCTGCACTCCCGCAATTTGAGGCAGGTCTCTTGCATTAGCCACCGCTCTGGAGACGCAAAGCCCAACAACACCCAACCCTCCCTCAAACAATGCGCAGCCTATTTTCTTCGTAAACTGAGCGTGATCTGTGTCTTCCCCCCTTTCGCATCCAACGTCGTGGGCCACCAAGTAACCGGCGGGCACGCAAGAGCTTGAGATCCGTGCCGTACGCCAGTACTTCACGATGTGACAAGCTCGTCAGCTCCGACCAAGCCAACACACCTTCAAAATCGCCGACAGGCATCGCCGTCCCCAAAACAAACACGACAGCCACGACAGCCCGGCCGCGCCCTCGACGTCTTTTTCAAAGTGCATATTAGCATCAACTTTGTCAACGCGCATCCAAACTAATGTCGCGTCCTAGTACAGTCGCTGCCCGATGCGCTGCGCTAGGAACTTCGATCGCCCAGGTAGCCGCTTCAGATGTTCAACTTTGCACCTACACGCGCTAACGCCCAAAACAGGTCATCCCGGATATCAGCAGCTTTGCTCGCAAATTCCGCGATGCTCGTCACGATCTGAACAAGATCAACAGTGATCTGCTCGTGATCAGAACTGGGCTGAGTATTGCGCAAGACGACTTTTCGGCAAAGTGGGCCGAGCTGCCGGCGTCTCTGATCGATGCTGTCTCGCGAGTTCTGGACTCATGCGACGATACCTGTGAACGATTGCATAAGGCTTTTCTTAAGCTCTCATGTGGTAGTAAACCGAAAGAGGACTGGCGTGTGCTGAAGGACGGACCTTTGGTGAATCTACGGCATGATCTTGACGCCTCAAAGGTGGTGCTAGAGTTGTGTCTAGACTATGTCGCATTGTAAGTTGTTTGCACCAGGAACGACGGAGCATTGCACGAGAACTGACTCAGCTTAGATTTTGCCAACAGGATACGATGGATTCGTTACTTCAGAATTTTGTCAGCGATCTCATCACGCAAAGTGATGAATTGCTGAAGAAGACGGATACAGATGAGATTTACGTGAATCAAACAGCACGCGACAAACTGTCTTCACTATTACAGGCTGTCCGTCTGCT